CCGAATTGGTTTACAAAATAGGCAGAAAGTATCATTACATTTTTTTACCTTTAAAAAATATAGAATATCTTTGTTTTAATCAGTATCTTAAAATTTAAAAATCACTTGAACTCCATGATATTGAAAGTTTACATACCTGAAAACTATATGCACGTGTTTGGCAATGAGTATTTATGAATTCAATTAGAGCTAGATGATGGCGCATTTGTGCTTGTGTGGTTTCTTCAATTTTTAAAGTTGGATCTATGTGTAAAATTGACTATTCAAAAAAATAATTATTTGAGTGATGCCAAATAAAAATTGTCATATATTTACTAGTATTTCGATCCTATTTTTGATAAGTCCGGATTTTATTAAATCTGGATTAAATCTGTATTAGATTGTATATAAAGCTAGCTTTAGGTACATCCTTAGTCCGTTATTTGAATTCTTTGACTAATCTGAGTAAAAATTTCTGATCTGAATATTTATTAGGATTTATGAATCCAGATAATCAGATTTAGGATCGAAACACTAATTTTTACATACTTGATAGTTTATTTTATTTGATTCAATATAAATAAAGAAGTTAAATATTTTACTTCAAATACTTCAGTAATAGCATCCCAACTTGCAGGAGAATAGCATTTAAATTTATTATTTTTTAATCTAAGTCGTTCAGTTCGGTTATTTAATATTTCTTGAATACCTGCAATACTTTCTTTTAATTCAGATTCTAGTTTATTGGATTCTTTAGCTTTTTTATGTATGTCACCTAGTGTGTTAACCATTCCAAATAAATTTTCCGATTCCAAACTCATCGAATCACGCTTGATTGCTACATTTTGAAGACCCAAATTTAAAGTACTCATAATTCGTTCTGCAGGATTGGCCTAGCTATGATTGGGAGCTGTACGAACTGCAATAAGTAGATCAAAATCTCCACAGAGAAAAAGACTAATTAGTGCAATTTGTACAGAACCATAATTACAACGATGATCAGGACCTCCATCAGTGTAAAGGCATAGAATCGGTAGTATTTCTTGATATATATATTGAATTTTTAAAACATTTAAAAATTTAGTTGAATGTCTAATAGCAGTGCTTGGCTCAAAAATTGTATCTTTGTATGATACAAACACTTGACCATCATAAAATGATTCAGAAATATCATTAGGAATCGAAATAAAAAAAATTACAGATGGTATTAGGGATAGTTTTGAGAAATCATGATCAGCAGTAGCCAAAGTGCTTTCTTGTGCTACCATTGAGCATCGATTTCATACACCTGTAGAAATTGCAACATCTTCTCTGATAGGAATTTTATGCTTGTCATCTGCTGAAATTAAACAGGTCCATTGACGATACTGGATACAAAATTCTCTAAGATATCGAAAAAGTGCTGCACAATAATGTGCATCTTCACTATTTTTTCGAAGCATCCGCCCTTGTACTTTAAATTTTACATTAAATTTACCTGTATAATACATTGCCCATGTTGTAGTAGCATTTGTAGGACAAAATTGAAGACGAATCCATTCATACGATGGAATATTAATATTGGAAGGTAAGGGATCATTATAAACAGCTTTTAACCTATCTACTATAGTTTCATGAAGCTCACGAATTGACAAGGCCAATGGCATATATAGAATAGTCCCATGTCGTCTTTCATCTACTGCAAGTAAGTTCTATATTAAAATATATTAAAAAAAAAATAATAAATTTTTATAATAAAAATAAAAAAAAAAAAAAAAAAGATTTTTAAATAAAAAAAGAAAGTGACAAACAAAAATAAAATCTTACTTGCTCATTAAAATAAGCTTCCATTTCATCCCAGAATGTATCAAATTTTGTTCCTCTAAATCCATTGTTTGTTCGTAAATCGAAGATAATATTTGGATCTGCTAATGTTAGCATTAATCGTAATCTTTCTTCTACATCACGACTAATTGCATCTGATGTTACAGCAGCATTTCCGGTAAGATCAAAATGAAGCATCTGTAATACTGCTGGTGAAATTTTCTGAATATAGGAATACTATTTTATAGGTATAAAAAACGGATATGCCTTATTTCACTGACACTCATTTCGTAAACACAACATTTCACCAACAACCATTTCCTAGACAAGCTTATTTCATAGACACCTCATTTCATATACAGCTCATTTCACCGACAAGTTAATTTCTCATAATCTCTAACCCTAACCTAACCCTAACCCTAATTCTAATGGTAATAATGTCGGTGAAATGAGCTGTTGGTGAAATAAGTTGTCTATGAAATGAGCTTGTCTAGGAATTGGTTGTCTGTGAAACAAACATGTCGGTGAATTGAAATGTTGTGTCTATGAAATGAGTGTCGGTAAAATTAGCTGAACCGATAAAAAAAACTATATATTATATAATATATTAATTAAAGCTTAAATATCAGTTGTTATTATCTTACCTTATCAAGTACATTCTTTCGCATTTGTCGTATAAAATAATGAGGCAACTCTTCATGAATCTTAGCTAACATACGTGCCTTTAACGTTTCATCTTGCCTATCATTCAATATTTCATTTTCTGGAATTCTCCATATGTAGTTAATTGTTCCTAAATAATTGCCTTGATAATATCTAAAAGTTCAAATAGCAAAATTAGATATAGCATAAATTATCTAAAAGCATTTTCAGATCAAAAAATACTAACCTATATATGTCGATTGGAAATATAAGCTGTAACTCTTTCATAAATCGGTACCGTTCTATAGCTTCGTTTGGAAGATATTGTTGAATTTCAACATGTTCATAAAATGATTTCTCAAATAAAAGATCATCTAATTGAATATATTCATCTTTAAGTTTGTGAGGTTCACAAGCACTAACTTGGTACATAGAGCTGTTATTTCCAGGATTGCGGGCACTTGCATTGCTATGATGAAGTTCATTCATACTAGCTGCAGTTGTAATTAAATAATCTGAATATTTTTTTAGAATTTCGATTAAAGAAAGAACTTCAGGCATCACTTGATTCCATCTATCCTTACTTGCCCACGGTTGACTAATAGAAATCTCAAGAGAACTCTCAAGATGTGCAAGTTTTTGTTGAGTCAGTGAATTTTTTTTATGGTGGCTAGTATAATAATACTCATCATATGATTCACCATTTTGATATATTTTCAACTGTGTAAAAAGAGCTGGTAAATGATATGAACGTGTACGTAGCGTTAAAAGATGTGGGTCAATATACCAAAGTGCATTCGCAAGACGATTTACAAATGCTTTTCCTACTGTATTATGAGAACCACACTCCCATCCAACCTGTTGAGCTTCAAAAAGTTTAATAATCTCATTGTAAAGTCGATTATAATTATTGTGCTCAGTACAACAACGAGGAAGTAAAGGTCGTCTTGAATTAGCCATTAAAATGCTAAAAGCATCTGGTTTGTCTTGAGTTGAAACTGATGTGTCTAAGTTTACATTAGAAACGAGACAAAATTTGACCTGCATAAAACCCAAAACTTCTAGCATTTTCTAATCACCATCTAACCTATTGTCTACTTCTCGCCAGCCTTCAGATTTTTCTCGTCTAATAAAAACTTTCACTTCCCTATCATCATATTGTCCTAACGTAGTTATATCAAAGAGATCAAAAAATTTATTTGTGGACTCCATACTCATTATACGCTCAGGGATAACACATTTAACACCTTCATTAACCTGAACTAAAATATAAAGCATTTTTAAAAAAATTGGCTATGGGGTAACAAAAAAAAAAAGTATTTTGAACTGTTTTTTTTTTCTTTTTCTTTTTTACTGACAATTGTTCTATTTTATGTATTAGGTTTTGTATATATTATTATGACCATACGATATATATATGCATGCATGCGCGTAGAGTGTCTAGAAATCTGCGGTAGCAGAATCTGCGCAGAATTCTGCTCTTGGCCTGCTCGCCGAATAATAACCTATTGGTAATACAGTCTATTATATTTAAAAATAGGTTTTCTTTTTTTTAAAAAATTTTTTTTTTTTGATTTTGTTTTTAAAGTATTATTTATACGTTGCCGTAGAATCTGCAAATTTAACAGAAATCGCAGCAGAACTCTGGACTCTACACGGCTATCTATTACTATTGCATAATGATACAACTTTCGCTCACACATCACTATTGCTCAGATTGCATCACTTTCGTTAATATACCAGTATCTTATATATCGCAATTGTTCTTGTTGCATTGCAATTGTTTTGTTGCATGTTAATACCACCTTCGCTCACATGTTTCAACTTTTTTTCAGATTATACAAACTTCAAATTTGTTCTTTTTTTTTTTTTATTGTTCATTTTAGGTATTTAATAGAAAGAATAATAGGGAGTATAGTCGAGTTGGGAAAAAATTCGGCATAATTACCCACAGAATTTTCCATGAATAGTTACTAATCATCGGAATAGGCTTTAAACAACATCAAACCAAATTAAAAAACATTAATGACAGTTTCAAACGGCATCGGGAGAAATTACTCATATATTTGCATTGTTGAAGGGTGGAAATTTCATATAATTTGGAATTTAATCGTATCCTTTAAAGAGAATAAAATATGACCTATCGTATCACTATGTATTTTTCAATATATACTAATTTGATTACTAACTCGTGACTTATTAGTTATCGTTATCTTACGTACGTAAGTACGGGAAATCCAAAAGTTTCATATCGAACAAAGAATTTTATTATTCTCAGTAGCGGCTTATTTAAGTTTCATCAGCATGCATAGAATGGTTGCTATTTAAGTAATTATTATTATCTTCATGAAAGAGATAAACTGCTTTATGCATTTTCTCCTATATAAGGTTTTAAATTTTCCCACACTGTACGTATGTACTGCAATTCGATCGATCACTTGGACCCTGATTTGAAAAATTTGTAACACTCCGAACCACTCGAAACTAAAGTACTTAAAAATAGTATTGTTATAGGTCAAATTAAACTAAGCTTTGCATTATTGTCAAGTCCTCACTGACCACGGGTGTAACTAGTGGCAAAACAATGCAGGTTTCAATCGTTTTAATATGAAGGTAAGGCTTCTGATGATCAGTATTTAAACCATGTGATCACGAACCCAGACATAAGAGAAAATTGACAATCGTTACTATATACAAGTATCTGAAGACCAATCCTTGCTGGAGAACCGATTTTGACCATAGCAATTATTGAAAGTTTTTTTTAACCATAATGCTAGATATTTCAGAGGCATGATTAATATTGCTAGTAATCTTGATAGAGAAAAATAGTCGAGTTTATAATAAAAATTTTGTATTGAAAGCTGAATATTAATTTTCTTATGTTAGTAGATTTATTATAAACTGGTTTTGGTGAGAGCTTAATTTGTTTTTTTTACATCAAAGGTTTTTTTATATTAAGAATTACTTGTATATCAATCTCTAATATTCTATGTATACTTGTTGGCAAAATCCCAAACTATTATAAAATTAGTTTGTCCGCACCCAAATCCCAAACTCTGGCCAAATTCATATCTCAAAAATTTTATTATTCAAACAAATATCATATATTCTTATAGTTACATATAATATATTAGCAAAATTTCAGGACTATTTTTTTGATTCAATTTTTTATAAATAGCAATTGTTTTTTTGAATTTGTCCAGGTTTTGTCATTTTTCTAGTGTGAGATATGAAAGTTACTCCAGAGACACGTGAGGGTCGGAGGCTAATGTGTTGCAGTATCTGCATACGGATATGCAGATCTCTAACCATTAATAGGTTACCCGAGGATAAAAGAGCTAAAACTCTTTTATGTAATAAAAGATATAAGAGAGTTTTAATACATTAAAGGGATTAAGGAAGGAAAAGAGACATAGGGAATTAATAGGTTTTAGTAGTTTTAGGGCATTTAGGACATTAAAGTATTAAAGCATGTTTAAGTATTATAAGTAGCAAAAGAGTTATGTAAAACATAGTGCTGTAATATATATATAATAAGAGCGAATTCGCTCATAATAAAAAATAGCTCTCGACAGTTTGCTTATAAAAACTTGAGCTCTTTATTAATAAATCCTACTACCCAACCTATACTTTCTTTAAATACCCTACCTCCGATACTCTACTAAGTGGCATAGTAGAGTTATCTTTGCGAAACCCATTGATTAATCCATGATTACCGTACCCCCCCGAAGTAATAATTGACTGTCCCTTAGTAGTAGGAAAGGCGACCTAAGCTTTGGAACATCCACCTGCCAAATTTAACTGCCTCTTTCGATATGGTCGTCCAGGTTGCTGATCCAAATAAAAGATTGGTTTGGTCCCGGTGACCAAACTGCCTGTTTTCACTAGCAAGTATAATTCTATGCGTTATGCATCACATGATTTATTTGTATTACATTACCTGTTGTTTGCTAAAAATTTTTTTTTTTTATAGTTAGAAGTTGACATTGAGTTTATATAAACAATATTTCACACAAGGTTTGTATTAAATTCTTTTTTACCCGATAATGTTACTATGGGGGGTTTTTTTAATCTTATTACTTCTGATCTTTTGAGCAAATGACTTGTGACGTATTGATAATATAAAAACAAAATCATCGTTATGTCTTAACTTAATCTCACTTTTGACTACCTTTTTTCTAATTATTTTTTTTTTTATACTTCAATTATTGTAGTGTTGGAATGTAAATTGGTGTCCTGGTCTAAGTCACGAGTTTTATTATTATTTTTTTTATTTTTATTATTATTTATTTATTTATATTATTATAGTTTCCTTTCATTATTTCAGTATATAATTATTTATTTGTAATTCGTCCTGCTCATGCCCTTGTTTACGTTTAAGAACCATAGTAGCTACGCCCGTAAACATAATGGTGAGCAGTTGAGGCAAGAGTAAAACATTAACATGAGCAGTTGAGGCAAGTGTAAAACATTAACATGAGCAGTTGGGGCTATGATGTATAATCGAATAAGCCATAAGTGATGTGAGCAGTGTGGCTTCATGTTACCTTGGGATAGTTTAATCACAGGCGAAGCAACTGCTCACGAAGGAATAAACAACTGCTCACAAGAAAATAAACAACTGCTCATAAAGACCTGCGCAAAATAATCTTATAGAAATTACTTAGTATAGCCTTCACGAACAAAAATGTATAAATATAGGTCCTTTTTGCCTTTCCAAAGAGGACCTTTACGAGTTACGAGTTACGAGTTGCTACAAAAAAAAATTAATCAATTAAAAAACAAAATTCATTATTACCTTGAAATTCCGAATCCTTAAAGTTCCAAAAATATAAAACCTCGCTAATTAAATAATCGATCCCTCACTACGTTTTCTTTATTTATTTATTAAAGTATACATTGTGTCTCTTAATTAAAATAAAGGAAGTAAGCACTGAGGCTGAATAGACCTTTCACTGAGTAATTAGGAACCGTATTCTTAACAAGTTATATAGGAAGTAACGTCACGTGTCGTATCATTGTTTAGATTGTTAAATAGGATCAGTAATTATTTGAACATTACGATTGTTTTATTATTAGTATTGTGATTAACGCTTAGGTCACGTTTAAGTTATTAGTTTTATTATAGTACATTTAATACTGTAGTAACGCCACCCTTATAGATATCATCTCATTCCTTAAAATATCATCCCTTCCGATTAACAACTATCGACCCATATAAATAACCACCGATATTACTTACCCTCATAATAATTAGATCATTAAACCCAGTATCACATTAACTATTGGAGCTAAACCGTGCAACCTTAATCGCTCTCCCAATTTACGATAGTAACAGTAGTATAGGTATAAAGATGTTCTTGATCAATTTTCTAAAATTTATAAAATTTATAAATTTATCAAATTTATGATTAGAATCTGTAAATCAATCAATATCAGATATAGTCGTGAACATAAATTAATTATTTATAAATTAAAATTTATTTATAAATATAGTTTTTAGAATATATCGGTACTAATTTTATAATGTGTCTAGCATTCCTGGTTTTGCGCAGCTACTTTATTTAATAATAAACCTGAGTTAACTAGAATAAATAAAGTTACCTGCATAATACCCTTAAAGATTATACAATAAACTTTAAAATTGCGAAAACATAAGTTCTGTATTTCCGCACTCTACTCAAGCATCATAAACTCAACTAATTATATAACGATCTGTTGCTTCGTGGGAAATTGTATAGTCTTGGTTTGTGGTCTAGAGCTAATTCAGTGAAAGGAATCAAGAGTCTCTTCCTAGACTACAACACCTGTCATTGAATTAATTGTCGGTGAATCGAGTGTAGGTAAATTAAGTGTAGTTGAATTAATTGTCGGCGGATTGATTGTCGGTGAACTAAGCTGTCTGTGAACTAAACTTGTCGGTGAATTAATTGTCAGCGAATTGTACTGTCGGTGTAGTAAGCTTGTCAGTAAATTAAGCATGTCAGTGAATTGATTGTCGGTGCATTAAGTGTCAGTGAAATAAATATGTCGGTGAAATAAACATATCGTTGAATCAATTGTCGGTGATTTGAGTGTCAGTAAAATAAGCATGTCAGTGAATGGTTTGTAGGTGAAGTGTTGTGTCTACGAAAGGGGTGTCGGTGAAATGAGCTGTACCGTATAAACTTTATTGATAAAAATTATAACAATTACAAGAATAATTTTAATAGAACAAAAATTAACATGAATATAAAAATAAAATCAAGCTAAGTTATTTCAATTATTTCTTCTGCTGTTTCAGGTGTTTGATCTCTAGAAATAGTTCTTTGGTTTTCTTTAAACACTACTTCTTCATTACTCGATAATTGATTATTTCTGGTTTTTGGTTTTTATCGTCATTACTTGATAATTCAATTATTTCAGGTGTACGGTCTTCATCACTCAATAATTCAATTATTTCATGTATCTGATCTCCATTATTATTTTCATATATAGTTTCTCTATTTTCAAGAGAGTCGTCAGCTACCTCAGTTCTAACATGCTCAAAATCCAACTCCCCATTTCCATTAAACTAGTATTGATTATTTACTGTAGTATTCACCTGCTCAGTAGCTATTTCTTTGTACTGAATATCATATTCGAATTCAACCTTTTCTATTTCTGTATTTTTTAGAAAGCCAGAGACAGTTCCAAAGAACTATATAGTACCCATAGACCATAGCGTAGTTTGAGTAGAAAACTATTGGGTCTCAGTATAAGTTCTAGCAATATAAATATGCATAGTATTGAAGTATGTTTTATATTCTTTGGTTTTACGATATAAAAGCAAATTATTAAATAGAATTTTATTTAACTCTTCATCATGGTTTTGAGTACTATATAAGGAATATATTTTTTTTAGTTTCATTAATATTATAAGTTGGATTGAAGAAGCATCTAATTTTGGTTAAACACTATTTAACATATTTATCACAGTATTTTTTATTAATAGTACTTTGAAGAGGAGATAATTTTATGAAGGCCGAGAATCCCATACTACTTTCATCAACCTTTATTAGAAAAGAAGTACAAATTTTATCAGTAAAAAGATTATCCTAGTTATTTATAGTAGATGGGCTTTTTCTTTTCTGATAGTAAGAATTTGATGTATTTGAATGAAGATTTTGTGTGCGAGAGCGTCTGGATAGCATATCGTTATTAAAAAAGATGTAGATAGATTACCTTCAAGAAAACTAGACGTTGTTATATAGGAATTCTAACTTTAATAAAAATAATAAAATAAAATTTGCATGATCGATTTACAATGCAAATTTATTTTATTGTGAATATCATGATTTGTTAATACGATATGCTACCTTAATCCTATTTTATATAAAAAAGAATTTTATATAAGAAATAATTCGCTTATTACATTTAATATAATATATTTAAAATTAGTTATATATGTTGAATACTTAATAAGATCTTATTTAGTAGTGTGTTATTATTAAATACATTAAAGAATACTTGATGAGAATGCAATCTTATTTAGAAACACGTTATTGTTAAATATGTTAAAGAATATTTGAGATATTTTATTTAGATACATATTATTGTGCTAATAATGCTAATTTAGTTATCTTTTTTGAGTTAGTGCCTAAAGTCTATACTTATTACGAATATACGAACATAGTCAATTTTTAATTCTTCAGATTACTACTTAATTGAACGATCAAGAGAGGGAAATGATAATATGAAAATATTCAAATATACTAAAATAAGAATTCTTGATAAGTATATTTAAAGCTCTTATTGCTCTAATTTAGAAATACATTATTTGCTAATAATATTAATTTAGTTATCTTTTCTAGACTAGTGCTTAGAAGTCTACACTTGTTGAATATGATGAGTATATTATTTCAGTAGTTCTTACTCATCAAGTTCTTATTTCTAATTAAAAGTATATTATGTTAAATGATTAATATCTAGGATTTTATACTTTCATATATGGCAAGTATACTATTTGTTTAATAGCGTTTACATCCTAACATAGTAATATTGAGTATTTATTTAGTGAAATTAAGAATTTATTGTATTATGTTATAGAACTTTTTTTTTTATTCATACATGTCTTCAATTAAAGAATCATTAATGTATATTGACTAGAGGTTAGAACCAGTTTTAATAATTTGGGTTTATCATGTGAATTTTGTGATATTTTCGAAATTTATCCAATTAAATTTTAATAAATTCTAAAATATTATAAAATTTATGTGATAAACCCGAATTATTAAAACCAGTTCCAACCTCTAATATTGACAACGTGTTAAAGATTCTTTGCACTCAATTAGAATTATTACAGCATATCTTCCAAATTTAAGCTTTTAACAATCATTATTTAATTTTATATGTGTTTTAATAACTTCTAATAGAAATGTTAAAAAGGGGCTTTTCTTATTATTATTATTCAAAGATCTTTTGTATATTATTATTTACTCAATAATTAATATTTATTAAAATCAAATATATTGTATTTTACTCAATTTTTTGTATAATTATTGATTCAAGGATCAAATATTCTCAGATTCAATTTATTAATAAAAAAAATCTTTTATAAAATTGATCTCGTCAAATGTTATAATAATTTATCAAAATTATAATCAATTTAATTAAAATATATCATTTGTATATAATTAAATAATTAAATAATACAAGTTTTAAGTAATCGCAATTTTAGTTTTATATATTTGCTTAATAGTACCTTTTCTTTATGTTTATTTAAAGAACAAAAAAAGACTTAAACCAAATATACATTCATTTAAATAAGCGTGTTATAGTAAAAACCATTATATATCTATGCTGTACTAAATGCCAAAGTGAACAATAACGATTAACACTCTAAATTCAAATTATTATTCTTTAATAAATAATAAATTCTAATACATATTTTGTAATAATAAGCATGTTAAAGAAATCATATACTATCAAAGTGAACAATAACAATTAGCTTTTAAATTCTAATTTATTGCCCTTTAATAAATATACCAATACGAACTTATTTTGTAATTATTTACTTTGTTTTTTGTAATTTACAGTTCTATAGTTTCTGATTCTTCAAAGTATATAAAAAGACGTTCATCGCAGGAGAGAGATAGTAATCAACTTGTTTGTACATTCCTAAGTATAGTAAAATATTAAAG